AGTGCTTGGACATTTGCAGGACTGCAGGTTGCAAAACCACGTAGTGGCAGCTGCAGATCACTACCTGACATGTCCCTGTGGGGGTGGTGTGGTATCTGCTCTTCATCTCCTACTTCATTTTTTAACAGGCAGCAGTGACTCAAAAATGCCAGATCCTCTTCAGAAAGCCAAAATCTCTGCACTGTGAAAGTAGAGTCTTTCAGATGTGATGCAGTCAGTCCACCTACAGTCATTGCAGGAAAAGGTTAGAGAATATTCATATCTTCTCTGGTTTTGGGAGTGAGTTTGGAGGAGGTGATGATACTGCTGAGAGGGAGGAGGAAGTTAATTTCTGCCGTGGGTAAGCTGGCATCTGAAGCACCAAGAAACAGCTCTAAGAGATGTACCGTGTTTACAGGAAAGCTTCATCTAAGCTTTGGAGCCTGAACAGCCATGTTGAACCTCCTCTTGCTCTTCTTCCATCTCATCAGCAATCCCATAAGGTGCAAGACTGGAAATGTCACTGGTGTCTTAAAATAGGGGCTTAAAGGCCTGCATGGCTTGGTTTCTTGATTTGTTTCCTGTACTCAATAAGCAAATATATGCCTGTCCTTACCATCTGCTGCAGAATTGCCAGGTGAAGGATGTACAGGGACTTGTCATTGCTGAATCGCTATGAGAGAAAAGACATTGAGTGAGGAATGGGAGACAGGTGTTGATATATGGGATACTTCTGAGCACAGTGGTGTCTGCACTGTTCCTTCAGTTGGCTCTTTCACTTGACCTCTTGACAAGAGAACCTGCATTTTGTGGGAACTTTCTTCTGCCTTTAGCTACATCTCTTGCTTTTTTTAACTACCACTGGTCTCTTCGCTCTCCTTTTGATTTGATTTTTTTTTTTTAGGGACTGACGCAACCACAATGAGAATAAAGGGAGCTCCTGACCCTTTCCCCTTTCTAGCCTTTCCTGGTATCTGCTCGGTCTTGCTGACTCTCTTCAAGCTGCTGCTTCTCTCTGCTTCCTGTCCCAAGCTCCTTTCTTTCCAAAACTGACCACTTTATTCTTCCCTTAATGCTTCCCTTCACCTCTCAATTTTTCCTTTGTACCTGTCAACCCTTTTCCCACCTCTTAGAAATCCTATCTCAGTACACTGCCTCTGTCAGCTCAGGACTGCTCTCAGTGGGTATGTTGTAACATCTCTGGGCTGCAGCTTCTCTGATAAACTTAGTGACTTTGTTCACTCTAAGACCCTGCTTGTGTTATTGTCCAAAATTTCAGGATTACCTTTCTTCTCCTTTTCTCCTGCTTCCTGCTCCTGACTTCTTGCCTTTCGTCTTGCTGCCTCTTAAACCAGGAACTTTCTCTTAGTGCTTGTCCTCAAAGCTCCCACTTCTGTCCCTTTTTATTCTTCCTCTTCTGTCCTCTTTCTGAAGTACCAGCAATGCTTCCAAGACTGCAGGTCACAAGACTGTAAGCACACACAGATTTCAGCAGGGCAGAACTCAGCCTGTATTTAGAGTAGTACTCGCTCCCCCCAGCTCCTTCCCGTTGCAGTGGATTTAATTTCGATTTCATTTCAGTTCCAGTCTCTGCTACAGATTTGATGTGTGACTTTGGATGAACTCTATGTAGCCCTGCTAACAATAATGGCATATGTGGTCCTTCTTTTCTGGTGGTCTGTGCACAGGTGGTGGCTTACTCTGAGCATACTTTGGTTTTCACTTTGGAACAACTGGAGGGAAGATCAGCATCTCCGTCTGTCGTGCCTGAGCTCCTGAGTCCGAGGAGTGCCTCCAGTAGTTAAATTCACATCTTTTTAAAGTACATCTTCAGCTTTACATTTGCCAAAGAAGAAACAAAACATGACTAGAAGGTAACAGTGGGTCATTTTGGCCTCCAGTAAGTCTTAACTGTGTAGTCACTAGGTAACACTGTGTGGGTGACTCAGGTAAATCACTTAATGGGTAGACAGGAAGCATCTGAAACCAGCAGAACAGAAAGAAGTTTTATTATGCAACAGCAGTCAATGGCAACAGCAAAGGTCGTTCCTTCTACCCGGCATCTATTTCCAAATGGATAAATGACTTCTGCTTTTAAAATTTTATTAGGAAACCTTCCCTGAATTCAAAATGGTCACAGCTCTAAAACAAGCTTTGACAAGTGGAAATGTTTTAATCTGTGCAACAGAGTGTATTTTTGATTATTTTTCATTCCGATTAACTCAGTCTTCAATATTTTGCTATGTAAAAGACTGAGTTTCCAGCAGCTATGAGAACATTGTGTGCTATTTTGTCTCTGCTAACTAGGTTGCTGTGGTAGTAGTATTCAGGAGTGATTTTTTTTATGGTCGCCTGTCTGTGGCATGTGCTTATGTCTAGGCTTGATTGACAAGTGCTTATTACCAGGCAAAAGATAGCAAACTGCTGGGCCTGCTGCAAAGCTTGAAATCTGTAATATTGTGACAGTGACGTGGATTGTATTGAATTAGTTTTACTGGAAAGCTCACTGCTGTAATCACATGCAAGGAAAACTGCTGTTCTTATCCCAGGCTGCATCTTCCTGGAAGGTCCAGCACAAGCACGCCTGAGCCTGGATGGTCTGTTGGACTAGCCTGGTACATTGGTGATGCTGCCAGTACACGTGAGGGCCTGGTGTGACTAGCATTCAGATCAGCCTGCTTTCTTTCTCTCTGTCCTATTGCCCTGACAAGGTGTCATTGATTTGTGTGTTGTTAAGGAGAATAAGGCCTTTAGGATTTGCTGGAGTGATTCTTAAACTGATGCTTCTGGACTGTGCCTACTGTTCTGCTGCTCTGCTCTCCCACAAATATACTTCGGGTATAAAATCATTGCTATTTCATTCTCAAAAAGTTTATACTGGTCCTGCTGGTGAAGTTCTTCTGTAAAAAACAATGACTTGAGCTATAGTTTCCTTTTTCGGCTGCAGTCAGTGTTTGTAAAAGCTAATTCAAGCTGAGGAGAAGGCAGAACCAGTGAAGAAGGGTAGCGTGGCTGTGGTGTCACAGCAGGGCTAGGCTTACTTCCCAGTGCCTTTGTAAAATGACTTTTCAGCTCATCAGATCAAGTGGCAGAGCCCCGTGTCTTGGTGAAGAGTGCTGTCCACTAGAGGACATCATTTCCGCAGGCAAATGTTCCTTCCGTTTTAGAGAAGATGTTCCTGTGCTCTGCACGTGTTTCAGCCCCGCGTATATCCCACTTAAAGAACTGGAGCCTACCGGGTACAGTGTTGCACTGTCAGAGGTAATGCTGGTTACTGGAAGGAACAAGTAGATGACTTTTCTTTCTCCTGACTTGTTATGCATTTTAAGTACAATCTTTGCATAACAACTAATATTGAAACAGCATTTTGGTACTAGTAGCAGAGCGTGTGGAATTACTGAGTGACAGTGGTGAGCCATCCTGCCTTAGGATGCTTGGGGCTTGTAGGATGAGTGGGTTTTGGACACCAGGCCTTTCAAAATGGTGTAAGAAGGTGGGTAAATTAAAGTCAGGAATCAGCAGCATTAGCTGTTCAGTTTTCAGAGGAAGACCTTTGTTTCTTACAGTGCTTTTCAGAGCCTTACTTCACTTCTTGTCTGTTTTTCTGCTTCCATTTCCATAGTTCTGAGAATGTTGGCTACAGATCAGTAAGGTCACTTCAGTTCCACTCATGGCTTTTTTTCCCCCTCTCTTTTAGAAGCATCCTCAAAATTGTTATATCACTGCCAGTTTGTAACACTTCTTTAAAAAGAAAAAACAAAACAAAAACCAACCAACCAACCAAAAAATGCCTTTGGAAAGAATTTGGGTTTGTGCTTCCTGACCAGGAGAAACTAGACCCAATTCTTCTCTTATACACACTTCTCAACTACTGTTGCTCTCAGCAGGATAATTTGCTCATGAAACTATGAGAAAACGAGCTCTGCTGGTGTTTGTGGGTGAAAGTGGAATTGGCCTTTCCTGTGGCTGTTCTGCTCCTTAGGTCTGTTTGTGGAACATCTCAGAGATTGCATGATCATAGTGGGGGGATTTCTTCTTGGATGGATAGCATTAGCTGCTGATACATGAGTGGAAACTATTTCTTCTGCAGTTTGCTGGAACTAAGCACAGTCACTAAACACCAAGGATGAAATTTGCCTCGCATCTAAATTTGCATGACATCTACAGAGGTGCAGTCTGACTTGCCCTCAAACAGAAGTACAAGTGTCACATAGTAGGATGTGGAAATATTTCTGTAGCAATTCTTAGTCAGGTAGGATCCTGGATGCTCCTGGGAAGAGGATTTTTTTTTTTTTTTTTTTTAAGGAGGGTCAGAGCGGCTGAGCGCTCTTAAGAGGTGAGTTTAGGTGCTCATTCAAGTGTGTGGTCGGTTAGCTATTTTACTGCCTGTCACAAGAGGATGGAACTGATTGTATCTGCTGCTCTTGCTCTGATGGAAGCTACTGCTGCACAGGATATAGGTTTCAGTTGTGATCCTTATTTATATATCTTAGTGCTAAGGAAATCAGTATCTAATGTGAGTGAATTGGCAAATGAGCGTATTGTAAATCTTACTTTAACTGATTCTTTTTCAAAAACATTCAGAAGTGACTTTGCTTTTAGTTAGCAATTTATATAATGAGAACTACTGTGAGGTTGGGGGGGTCACAAACCCAGATCTATATCCATGATGTGGAAATTTGTTTTCTATAGGTTTTGCAAGAGTTGTCTTCATGCAGATATGTGATAGCGTCAGCCACAGAAAAATTAAAATGTGCAATGATTTAGTGCAGAGAGGATCAAGAGAGTGCTTTTCAAAGTTGCATTTTACTTATGCATCACACCTACCACCTCATCTCATGTCACCAGATCACAGATGCAGCAAAGTACCGATGGAATTTCAGCTGTTCTTTGTTGAAGAAAAATAGCAAAATGTTTTTATGGAAGAAAATCACTGGTTATAATCTTAATTATAATTAATCTTAATTTCAATTAGTACTAGCCTAACTAGAGAATTCAGCTTCTATGCAGGGTGCTGCAAGATGGCTTTGCTTTTTGTCTTCTCCACGGCTGCGATTGTGGCTGTGTGCTCAGAGCAAGCCCCCAGCCAGCGCTCTGTAACAGGTGAGTGTAGCAACCTGCAGTAGCTACTATGCAAAAGAAAACAGTTTAGGTAGGAAACTTGACTTCTGCTTCTCCTAGAAGAAAAGCTTCTGTGCATTTCTGTGTACTCTCCTGCCACTTCGAAATGTTCCCCTTGTATCCTACTGTCAGTCTGTCGTGCTGCCTCAGCAGCCTGTGGGAACTACTATATGTATGTCTAGTTCAACTACTGTGACTGGCAAATTAGTGATGTAATGTCTTTCTGTTAAAGGCATTGGCTTTCTACATGGTTTCCCCTTCTATCCTCAGAAAGTGTGATACTGAACAACTGAAATGAAATGTAAGTTGCTGCCTTGCTTGCAACAATTGGCTGCTGCTAAGAAATCTGGCTGCTAAGCATCAGTCAACAAATCTGATAAAGTTCGCTGACACAGAAGCCTCAAGTGTCGTTACTGAGGACTTACCCTGTGTTTTGAAGTATGGCTGGTCTTTTCGTTCTCTGAAACAGAATAATAAAATAAAATATGCAGCAGTTGACACTGTAAATCAAATCAGCGAGTCCAGGCAATGCCAGTGTCTAATGCAATCAAGAAATGTTAATAGAGTCCTATTAAGGTGGCTAATGCTCATCTGTTGGTGCAAGAGGAAGCAGACTCAATAAGACTAATGGATTAGGGTGATGCGATGCGATGCAGTCCAGCCAGCAAATGTAGATGTGAAGAGCTGCTGCAGTGAGCTTACGCAGACTTGTGCTGCTGACTGTGGCTATGTTTAAGCTGCTTCTAAATCTAGAAGCATTCCTGGTGCGGTGTAACGGAACTGATGCTCCCAAGGGCTTTTCTCGTAGCCAGAATTTGTCTGAAGATTTTTGACACTTTTTGCTGTCTTCCCTTCACACTTCCACAGATAGGAATGTGGGCTCCCTTTTAATGAATTGATAAGTTTTGAAGTTCATTTGCTCCTCTTCCTTCCCCAGAGCCTGTTCGCTGAGCAGTGCCAGTTGAATGAGTGGAGGAACAGGAATTAGGTAGTTGCAGTAGCACAGTAGGCTCAGTGTGTGTTTTTAGTGTGCACTATGTCTTAGAGGGCTACTGTTTTCACGTGAGTCTTTCCAAGTTCCAGTCCTGCTTCTGATATCTGTATGATAGTAACCTGAAGCTAAGGAGAACCTCCCACCTCAGATTTTATGATCTTGTCAAGATAATTTAGACCTAATTGCTGAGATAGGTCAAGTACCTAAGCTTATCTAATTTGGATACGAAAATATGAGAAAAACCCAAACCCTGACCCAAGAGCCCTGGTAACAGTCAGTACTAATGAAGCAGAGGGCATATACAGGCAGAAAACATTGTCATACATGAAGGGACATCTGCCTGTCTGGAGATCTGGAAATAGATTTGTCACTTGAATTACTCTGCATAAACATGCTTTTTATAGAGCAGAAGCTGGCAGAATGCTTGTGTTACTGAGAATCATAGGATGGTTCGGGTTGGAAGGGACCTCAAAGATCATCCAGTTCCAACCCCCCTGCCATGGGCAGGGAAAGCCTCCACTACACCAGGTTGCCCAAAACCTCATCCAGCCTGGCCTTGAACACTTCCAGGGATGGGGCATCTACAATTCTCTGGGCAACCTGTTCCAGTGCTTCACCACCCTCAGAGTGAAAAATTTCTTCCTTGTTTTGAATCTAAATCTACCCTCTCCATTAAGCAGCTCACAAAAAAAAAGGCTTTAAGATTGTTGCAGATATATCCTTATACTCGTTTCATGATGCTTGGTGCAGTGAGGCAGTAGGTAAAGCACATTGTGTGAGAATTAGACCCTTGCTGTTACAGTAAAACTGGGGTTGCCCCATACTTTGTGCTTTTCTGTGTGTTTTAAAACATAGAAAGCAGTTTTATTGCCTGGAGAGTAGCCTGGCGTAAGCTGCTGTTAGTGTTACAGTGAAAAATTATTCCTTGGAACATCTTCCCTTTCAATTGTTTGGTGCTCATGGTTTTGTTTTCTTGCTGTTTCAAGGTAATTCTTTTCCATTTTATGGAGACAGCATTTTTATAAGCTTTGTGTTAGAACCTGTACTACTCAATGACTGTGAACATGGTAAAGTGTTTTTTTTTGTTGTTGTTTTGTTTTCTATTTTGTTTTTCTTTTAATTGCCACTCAAGAAACAAGAGTTCAAAGTATTTTATCTTCCTTTGGTGCTTTTTCAAGCATATTGTGATGACTTTGGAAACGTCTCTCAGCATTACTCATAAAAAGGAGGGCATTTTGCCTCTTCTGGCACATACATGATACTTGGCATCCCTGGACAGTAGAAGGGCATGAGAATGAGTTTTTGCTCTGAGACTGGAGAATGAGCATTAACCAGATCTTTTCCGAGAGCTGTCTAATGGGACCAGCTTGTACAGTTGGCTCTTCCCAGAAGGTTATGAGGATTTTAGCTTGCTTCTTGGCTTTCTTGACCTGCGCAACAGAGAATACATGTTATTGGGGTTTTGCTGTGTTTTCTACCTCGCGTATTGTTAAGGCAAAGGTCAGCTTGGCTCAAATCAGTTTTTGGAATGGCACATCAAAGGACTTAACTTTGTCCAGGTGTGCCTACGCCATACTGTTCTGGTAGGGTACAGAAGGTTTCTCAGGCCAGCTCTAAGGATTGCAGGCTTCTTTTGTGACAGTGAGTGGCAAGCTTGTTATTGCCCAGCTGTCCATAGTCAGCTGCTTCACCTCTTCTGCTTGTAGTTGATGAGCTTCCTCAGCTAATTCCTTTCCTCTTCTGCTGAGGTTGTGGCATCACAGCTATTGAGAGAGTTAATTCCATTGTAATGAACAGCCTGCAGGTAACACGTTGTCTTGGTGAACATTAAAAAAGCAGCTTTGTTATCTCCAGCTCACATGTAGGCCTTGATGCCAGGTGGGGTCAGCAGGGTACCATATTTCTCTGGTCTCTGAGTTATTAGGGCTTCCCTGTAATGCACCCTCTTAACTCTTCCAAGCTGAACCAGGAACTGGAATCCAGTAACAGTGTGGCTGTGGGTAGCAGTCATTCTGCACAAGACTAGGTAACTTTTTAATTTTTCTTTTTCTCCAACATGGACAGGATTCAGGCAACCCTTGGGGCTACTGGACTTGGCTGTGTAGGAAACCCTTCAGTCAGAACTTAAAGTGAATGAGACAGGTAAAGGACAAGGGAGAGAGAAAATATGCCCAGTGTCATCCAGCAAATCAGTGACAATTGTGAATTGGAGTGAAGTCGAATCCTGTAGCCAGGAAAGGGTGTTCTTTAAAGGACTGTTTACTCCTCTAAGTGTCTTTGAAATAGGCCTGTGATAGTCTTGGCACATTGTTCCTTAAGAAAAGGCCTTATGAAGTACAAATTCCCTGCAGACTGATAACTTGGGTATTTCAGGATGCAGCAATGAATTTTGAACAGTTGGAGGGAGTAAACACCAGAAACTGAGTCTTAACATAAGTAGAGCTGGGGAAAAAAATGTGAGTGTGTAACTTCCTCTCTAATAGAAATGCACTATCAGATTTCTATTTTCATTTAAAAATAACAATCTTACTGCAGCTAAATTGTCTTTTAAAAACATTAACCAAGGGCTTTATTAGTAAATTGCTGTACATTTTTTCTTTATTGTAAAGCTGATACCACTGTCCTCTGACTGTGGAGGTTGCAAAGGAGGTTGGGATCCAATTCTGATAGGTCTGGGCACCCACTAGATGGTGTTGGCTCTTCAGGGAAGGAGACCAGTAAAACTAGATGACAGAGTGGAAATGCTAACAAGTCTTCTGAGTGTCTCATTACTGAGCACTACAGAGAGAGATGACCAGTTTTCAGAAGTTCTGTGTTTGCTGTCCAGTTATGGACATCGAGTTTTGTGTGTTGTCACCCTGCAGTATAGCGTCTGTTTGGATCAGGTGGGGGTACACCATCACACTTCCATCAAACCAGCTGGAGCACATGACACAGTGCTTATGCGAACTTTATGTTTCCGTTCTGACTGCAGGCAGAGAATGCCTGATGTGTCATGAAGCTGTCTGGTACCAAAGTTAACCCTCCAGAATGTTTATGACAAATGGGAACTTAGGTATGAGGTTACACTGGACCAGAGACGTGGGGCTGTAGCACCTTTGCTTCAATTTGGGGAAACAAAATTACAGGCTTGAGCCACAGTCTGACTCTGCGATCAGCTATGGATCAGCACTTGGTACTGTTGAAGAAATTGTGCTGCAAGTGACTTGCCCTGCTGAGTTTGTAGCAGAGACCATGACCAAACATGAGGTTTTCTCTCTCCTTCATTTGTAGTTGAACCACCTATAGACTTACCCTTTTTCTGTTGCATTTATCTTTCAAGTTGGTGGCTCCATGCTGAGTACTGGAGTGATCTGTTGTGTAACAGGGTCACTTAAGTACCCTGTGCACCCATTTCTTCCTCCTCGTGCTTCATCTCCCTGCTTGCCAGAGATGCAGTGGGTGTGCAGAAGGCTGTGGTGTGCCCATTGGAAAAAAACATTTTGTTTCTAAGCTGGTCTGTCAGAAGAACGCAAAAGTGACTCCACAGAAGGACTAATGGGACTTTTTTGGTATTGCACTTAGAGATACTGAGAACTGCATCTGTGGCTGTCAGTGGGAGCTGTTGGCTAGGTTTCCCATGCAGTGTGCAGAATACACGACTCCAGTTGTTCACTGTTGGATTTAAGTGTTTAGTATGATATTTGGGGATGCGGCATTGATCATAGTACCTCGTGGTGCCTGTGACTTTCCAGACAATGCATTAGCCATGCAGTTAGCAGCCTCTGTAGATCTGTTAGCATCTTCTTTGCTCTGCCTCCATGTACAACATATTAGGTTTGAAAGGATACCTGGACAAGTTCTGTGTCCTAACAGACCTGCATGTCAGCTGTCTGAAACCCAGCAGATGCAAGCGACCAGGAAGTAGACAGGGTCCCAGTGTATTTTTTGGTAACATATTCAGAGAGGACGTGAAAATGAAAAATGGACATAGATGCAATAAAACATT